CCCCAAAACCCCAAAACCCCAAAACCCCAAAACCCCAAAACCCCAGGAATGATATCAAATCTTGAAACGCTATTCTTTATAATTCTCTATACAAAAAATTATACCACAAACTCTTTAATCAAAATCGGATTCCAAGCTCTTAAAATATTCTCCAAACCCAATTTCTCACAAAAACATAAAATACATTTCTCTTACTTCATTTCTCATTTTATTTAGTCTTTCCAAAATCTCTGCATTTATATCAATTAAACTCTTCGAACATTTCTCTAAATCCTGCCATGACTTTTGCTGAGATACTGGCTGGGCCACTGGCTGAGGCCTAGCTGCAATGTCAGGCATCCTCGGAGATTTAGATGATGATTTTATGATCATATAACTCCCCTTGGAATTACCTACATCTGGTGAGGAATACGGGTTAATCGTAGTATTTCTCGACTCTTTGAGATATTCCAGCCGCATCTCTGCTAACTCTCTCTGGCTATGAAATTGGAAGACTAAAGTTACATTTTATTTATCCTCTTCCATTTCGAGACGTTTCTGGTCTTCAAGCAATTTCTTATTTTCTAATAGCTCTTTCTTTTACCTCTTTTTTAAGGTATTCCTTCCATTCATCCTTTTCTTTCTGTTTCTGAATCTCATTGGCTTCTAATTATGACTTAGAGGAACTCCTACCACATTCGAATAGCTTAGTAAGTCTCGGAACTTTAAATTTCTTAGGTTTAGCTAAAGATTAACAAAAGTTTTCAACTTTTATCTGGCCTAAAGAGTTATGATCTAAACCTACTGTTTCTGGTGGCTGAAGCTATTGTATGCCTCTTTTGGAGAGTAAAGAACTGGAGTTTCATTTGTATCTTTATCACTCATATGTCCTCTTTCTGCAAGAATGTGACCATTTTTGTCCCTTAAGGGAGCTCCAGCTCCCATTTTACCAAATGGGAAGTGATTTATCATGAGTCCAAGGTATTCAGCGTCTTCAAGTTTCTCTATAGTCGAAGATTTCAACCCAAGGTTTACTCATTTCTTTTTGTTCTTTGGCCTGTTTTTCCTTCTCGCTGATTTGAGATTTAAGGGTAATATAGTATTCTTCAGTATCCTTTTTCCTTTCAATTGGGGAATGACTCCTAAGTTCATAGGAGTTCCTTAGGCTACGCTTTGAGCCTGACCTAGAAGAACCTGAAGACCTATGGGAATGCATTTGTCCTAAAATTCCTCTCTCATTACTATAGCCTAGTGAAACGTCTAAATTCTTCCTGATTTTGGTGGTCAAATCAGGAGTTTTGAACTCTTTATCTGAAAAATCCAGCGTTCTTGTTAACTTCTGTTCAACCTTTGTCATATTCGTGAACTTCTTGTTGGAATTGGTAGTTAGGATATTATTCATAGCTACATTCCTGATTCGTGGCTTGTTTGCTTTTAACAATCTATTCCTGTCAGACAGTTGCTTGCTCCTAGAAGGATTAGATGATCATACCTCTGCCTTCTGATATTATTTAATCACTTCTTTAATATATTTTGAATAATTCGCTTTGATCCTATTTTGATTTCTGTTCTCCCTCTGATTCCCCATGAGAGGGTTTGGAAGCCTGTTAGGGCTTCTGAACTCATCTGTGTATCGACGGTGTTCTATAAAATAATGCCATAATCTACCAAACATCCCTTTTATGCCTGAATAAGCCTCTTTAACATAAGTATGGTCCTTTCGTGAATTTCTGTAGTTTCCAAACATTTTATTTATATCAGTTATGAGCAAATAAAAAGGGGTTTTGGGGTTTTGGGGTTTTGGGGTTTTGGGGTTTTGGGGTTTTGGGGTTTTGGGG